CTCGAGAATTTCTGATGATCAATTTTTTTTACTAATCTGATCCATTATCCTTCACGGGCGGCCTTATATATGGGGCTCATATTTGGTGGAGGTACTTAATCGGGTACAAGGTATCCCCCTGTATATTAATCTGCCGCGCTTTAGTAAATCCCGAAATCCTCGCTTGGACTCCCCTATTATTAATTATGATGAACTCAACTACAAAACTTCATTATTCCAAAGATAAATTCATCATTTCATTGTAGTATGGCTCACACATAGGATCATCAGGATTTCATAACATAAATCTCATTGCATGAAATAAATTTCGATAATACGTAGTTTGTAGCAAGGTTCGAACACCGGTCGGGTCACATTTTTTTAATCAGTTTTTCTTTATTTATGTCTGCATACGAAAATCCCCCTTTTAATAATTATATTACAGAGGATGAAATGTCTCTGTTGTATTTATGTTCGATTTATTTTATGTTATGATATTCATGTTATGAAATGCTGATGATGCTACTACCTATATGTGAGCGATTCTAGAATGAAATAATAAATCAATTTTCGGAAGCATGATTAGTTGTTAAGTTTGTTATAATCAACAAATTTCACCCTCTTGACACTAACACTACGAAGGACTGGATTACGGATGTGATTCGGCCGTTATTCTGCTTGGTGACTCCGATACAGTAGTTGGTAAAAGCGCCTATCTAGAGAACAAAAGAGCCAGATTGGAATACTAGTCGAGACACATTTCAATTCGATTTTTCTAAAATATAGTATCTAATTTCTGTTTGAATTCCACTAGATATATGTCAACATTTTAATAACATTTTTCAATGCTAAGTTGGTCGCCTTGATATATAGTGAATTCGAATCCAGGTTTTTGCTCTCAAACATTCATTAAGGCGAAGGCCAATTGATCTCAAAGAGTTGTTAACTTAACCTACCCAAAAACCAGAGGCTAACACCCCAGTCTTCGATTCCGTAAACTAAACCCCTTGCCAAGATTCCGGATCCGCCTTTGAGTTGGGCACATGAACGTACCTGACCTAATTATCACGATAATATTTGCCTCATTCACGGTCTACAACCAAATGAAATAAAAATATTGAAATGTTGGTTTTTTGACAATAAAAAAACCCCACCCACCAAATGAAACATTTCGCATGGCAACCACAATTTATTCGATTATATGTTTTATCCCTATACATTTACATTCAGAATTTGGGGTGTTTCTCTTTCCGTCAGCGCCACCCAGGATCGAAGTGAGCCCTCCGTAAATTACAGAGCATCAGCCATCCGGGAGTCTGGATGTGAAGTCTGGAACAAAATCTCACGCACACAACACACATTCGTATACAAAAATTTGTAGAGATTCCGCGGGGTGAAACTGACTCTCTGAAAACTCATTATTTTGGAATAGTGAAAGTGTCAATTGACGAGGTGTTCAAAATGTAATTTTGTTTTGTGACAAAATTTGACTCATGGAATATCGCATTTGAAAGGTTAGTGTTTGTTTCTGGGTTTTAGAACAATTGAGTTCAAGCGGATAAGTATTTTGAGATTTGATTGGCAAAATGTAATATGTTTATCCTGTCAAGTGCGTTTATCCAACATTTGAAATGTTTGTTTTTAATTCAGACCAAATTAACTCTGAAGGTATTCGTCGAAAAAATCTTGAATATATCTCAATGAATGTTATTTTTCACACTTGATGAAACCTGTTGATGTAATATCCGTTGTTAATTTATAGAGGTAGATAAATTGAAAAGTTAAATTTTAAATCTATTTTTTTGTTAATTAACCATCAAAAATAGAAATGGGTCATTTACAAAAAATAAGCTTTTTTGTTGCTTTTTTGTGTTTGATAACAGTTTCAGGAATTCAATTAGTTGCAAAAATGTTTTGAAAACTGGTGGATATCCTGTGGTTAGACACAAAAGGATGCTGATCCTGTTGATAAAATTGAAAGAAAATATCTATTATTCACTTTCTTGTAAACTTAGAAATTTTAAGTAATTATAACTTATAACACCAATATCAAATTTCATCACTCAAATCGCGATCAGTTCCTGAACTGAACATTGACAACACGACTCTTCTAACCATCCTCACATTCTATTGGTCACCGTGACATGACTTCAAATTTAATTTTATGACTCTTCAGCCAATCATAAAACTCGGTTAGTAAAAATTGTCCAATACGAACCGCCAATTCTTCAGTCCACGTGGACTAATTCGTAGCGGCATTATTCCTTTGTATTGGTTTTTTTGGCCTTTGAGTTCTCCGAAGCTTTAAGAATTACTATATCGGTTACTTCGACTATACCAATACTCTGACAGATATCAAAACTTGTCTGAAGACTATATCAAAGAGAGGTACATACCGCCGGCAGGTATTTACCAGAACCTACGGTTTCCATAATACCGGATGTTTTCTTTGTAATGCTTCTCGCAAGCGGCGTATAACTTCAAGATAATAATCTTTATTGTCCGTACAACCATTTAGCAATAACTCCTGATGCACTACGTCACAGTATTCGAAGAAAACAGTGAGTGATTGAACTTTGCGTGCTTTTTTGGTCTTGGCTTTCCTGGGCTCTTTCATTGGGACGATTTGACTTTGATTTCGATGTCATAACCATATAAGTACTCATGATTCGTCACCAGTTATAACCTTTTTAGGCAAATCTGGATCGCCGTTGACGTCATTCAACAATTACTGAGCGATGGTCATACGACGGTTTTCTGGTCAAAACTCGGCAATTTTGGAATGAACTTCGCTGCCATATGCTTCATGGCCAAAATTTTAGAAAAAATAGTGATTCAATGATTCTCCTTAACAATTTTCTTCGCTTTCTCAACATTTTCATCGGTTGTTGATGTGCTGGGGCGTCTAGGATGAGCGTCGTCATTCACATCTTCTCGACCTTGTGTGAAAAGCTTGTACCACTTGTGAACATGTTTCTGATTCGGAGTACAATCACCATATGCCACTGTCAACATTTCAAGTTTACACAAAATTTGATGCTAATTCTTTGATACATTTTTTCGATGGCAAAAATCGCCGAACACGCAAAACATTTCCAACATTTATGCCTCTAACCAACAAAACGAACATGCTATACAGCTGAAACCGTGAACATATAAACGAGACGAATGCACCGATATAAAAAATTACAAAAAAAATCGCTAATCGAATGTACGCGAAACATTCATCTTATTTTTTGAACAACTCACTTTTTGAAACGAAAATGACTACTCATTTCGTATTGTTTTCTTGACTTCCCAAGTAATAAGTTTAATGATGCTGCATTTGCTAATTCAGTGACTCGTATCTTTCAATGATTTCGAGATATCAGGTACATTCAGTGCAATTAAATCATTTATTTCCAGAAGTATCCACTAAGAATCAAAGTGTCGTCTTCCTTCTGTTTTGGATACGCAACATGTTATTTAATTCCTCAAACTCCACATCCAGTAGTTTTATCTCACCGCTGAAATTCATTGAGAGATTTTTACTGAATTAATATAAACTGTTTTCTCTGTATGTTTAGTTTTTGGCCAATATTAACAGTTAAATATAATAGATGTGTGCACCTCATTAATTTCAGTCGATATACAGTCCATCGCTCGTCAATTTGATAGTAACAACCAATTTGGTCAGTAGTAGTCAAAATAAATAAACTAGGTACGTCGATACATTTGCCACACAGTTACCAAATCGATTCGAATAATTTTTCTCTGTTAAACTTGATAGATAGAATCTATCTTTGGACCTTTGGCGTAAAATAAATCTATTTAAATATATTATGAAAGTATTTTTCGTTCATGTAACTCAATGTTCATGTGAAAGTAGTTATTGCGGAAGGGCTTTTTCTTCTAGTTCGTATCTGAAAGTCTATGCACGATCTACACATCTTTGTGGAGAGTTAATGAACCTAATTGCTTTCTTCCTTCCTTTGGACATTTCACATCCTATCTTTGTAGGAAGATAGAGAAGTGAAAGCTAAAAACTTTCCCCAGAAACTTATCTTTCCTAAAAATATACCCCCTTCAATCCAAACAAGATTGCCTGTGACTGGGATTAAATCAAATAGGCAAAGTAAGTAAATTTGGGTCATCCGTGACATGAACAAGTGCTTCATCTTGTAATATTATCCAGAACGGTGCTGATGAAGTAAAAGTAATGAGACAAGTGTCTCATTCCCAAACATCGAAGTCCTTCATTTAGCATTAGATAATTCCATGTAAGTTAAATTGCATATCGTAACTCTTTCATATATTATATTATGTAGCATTTCCATGAATGTTTGGAGTACAATCCGAATATGAAAACTGAATTTTCGTTCATATGTTTATTTGAAAGTAGTTGTTCCGAAAGAACTTTTAATTCCAATTTGTTTGTGAAGGTAACCTCTATGCATGATCTTCCCACTATTGTGAAGAGTTAATGTTGAACTTAATTCCATTTGAAATCGGGGTAACTACTAATTTATTCTGCAACTATTTTAATATTTATTTTCCTGTCCTATCTGCTGCTTAACTTGCAGCCATCTGAGTGATATGGTAACAAAGGCACTAAATTTTGGTGACGTTAAAATTTCAATCACACTGGAAAACACTTTTTTCTAGAGAACATAAAAGTAGCAAAAACATTTAATTATTGCAATACATTTACAATTTCTGTACTACGTTTCAGAAAAGTGCCCTACAAAAGTATTCTGCTGCCAAAACAGTATCGATTCCAATAAAAAATATGTGATTAATCCGCAATCGAAACTGACGATTTTATTGCAGCTATCTAGCAATTTATCGATTTGAAAAAGATGCAGTCACGATCAAAAATATGTTTCATTAACCGATTGCAATTATTAGAAACGTTCTATTTTCGAACATAATAAAAAATCAGTGGAGTACGAATTCTTAACACAGCCTGTGTATCAAATTGAGAGAATAGTTGTGTGAGCTAATAATTTACGAAGCTCTAGAATAGTCTAGAATAAATTCATGATGTACGTTGTCAGGGTGAGAGAAATGGGTAAACGCTCACAGGTAACATGGCACTCATGGCAGGAGAGTGGGTCAAACTCGTCATAAGATCGATATTTATTTTCCGGTCCTGAAGAACACTTCTTGGCTTCCCCCACTGTGACTGTGAGGGAATATACAGTGCATTTCTTTAATGCTCCCCCCCCCTTTTATTTTTTGAACAAGTCAACTAAAAACTAGAAATTTGGGATAATGAAATTAATGCTAGAATACTTTATTTTGAAGTGAAATTGCCAGATGAAACTCTCAAGATGGCGACTGAACGCCATCTGGGAAAAAAATAAATAGAAAGGGGGGGTCTTGTGACACACCATTTTGAAGCTCCTGTCGAATACTTCACAACCGTAGAATATGAAGTCAATATTTTCACCTAATACAAAATAACGAAACATTTAATAATTTTTTGGAGACAAACCCATTAATATCGATATTTCTAGAAATATTCCTTTTTGCCATATGGCGGATATATGGCAATTCCAACAACCCGATAAGGTTTGTTAAGTTATTTTTTGTTTATAAAAACGGCAAAAAATGTCAGTTCGACAACGAACATCATTGTTCAGTTATATTCTCATTTAGCGCGTCTGCGTTTGCTGGGACTGCTCTTTATTTAGATATTGCTCACATTTCACAACACAAAATTAAACTAATTGATAATGATATTTCCCTTGTTTCAGTCCTTAAACAGATCCCTTGGTTTTTATCTGATATAAAATTTCTTTTTTATTTACTGTTAATCCTTTTCCTAGAAATGTAGGTATATACCTGATAGTGTGACGTCGACTACATTATAACTTCTTAGGAATGGATAAAATCTATAGAATCTGTATTATTACTCTTTTATGTTTATCTAGGGTGAATATTATACAAAAATATCATTATAAGGTTATGTTGAAATTCCATGCCAAACTTCAGTTGAACTATCAGCTGTTCCAATCAGAAATTTCAAATTAATCAGAAACCAATATTTAACAGACATGCGCGTTGTCAACGATTTACAAACAGTTGGAAATCTGTTTGTGACTCAAGGTTGGAACGAACCTATTATTTACTCTACTTATTATTCAACTATAATGTTCATGAATGTTAAGCTCTCTCTATCGTACGGCAAATTCAATCTGTCGTTCCACAAAACAGATCTGTGTACGCAACGTTTCCATTTATAAGATTTGGTCGCAGACTATAAATCAATTTTTTTATATTCATTCAATAAACATTGATGCTGTTGAATACATTTCATTAGCAGGAATTTTGACCAATGAATGAAACACGTTGTCCGTTATTTAATGATCATTTAGCTGCGTGTGTATGATTCAAATAGAAGATGATAACATATATAATATCACATCCTGACAACAGTGTTTTCGTGAAAATGAACAATGAACAATAATATTATAATGTATATATAGTTCATAATAATTTTTTGGTGTAACTCGATATTTTTTGCGGAATATGAATACATTAACCTTAAAATTACCATGAAAATTTCCATTTATTAGGTATAAAATTGAAATCATTGCTCTAAAAATTTTTTACCTTGCCTCTTTAATTTTTTTGAGCTCTTAACAATACAGTCCAACATTTTTTATGAAGATTCATTGGCAGGCTCTGGATTCGGCACTCCACTAATTATGTAATCTATTACTACTACTATTGAAATCATTCTAGTAGAACATTCCAAATACAAAACTTTTGGTCAACACTGGTCATTTTTAAATAGTATGTAACATTGAATTACAAGGTCGTTGTTCTTGCTACAAATTAAAATAGATATAAGCGTAAGAGACGTTCAAAAACTCAACAGAGCTAATATTCATAATGTTCTGATGAAATTTCCGCTGTTTCAGATACTACCTCAAAATATTAAAGTTTGTTTTTTTATAAAAATAGTGTTCATGCTATAGGTACTGATATTTTTCTGCTGATAAATTGGCCTGCTCCATTGAGAAACGTTAATGACACATTCATATTTCAGTAACATCGTAAACTATCTAAATTCATTCTACTGGAAAACTCGATATTGAAATTTTTCATGTAAACTCATCAATATGTTGACTGTTTACAAATTTTATGCTATTTCACAGAAACATTAAATCGCTCTGGAGTAATGAAAAGTACACACAGAAACGATTGAAGAAAAACAATATATTAGAATAAAGTCAACAAGTAAATTTGAAGTTGTTATTCCTGTCTTTCATGTTTTGAGGATCATAAATTCCTTTCCATTTCAAATGTTGTGTTTCGTTTTTTCAATGTTATACAGTAGTGCGAACGTACAATGACACAGTTGTTATGGAAAATCATAATATCTAATTGGAAGTAATACAGGAATATGATAATATAAAATAACAAAAGAATAAAATAATGTAAAATAATGAATATGTATAGTGGATATTAAACTGTTAAGATATCAAAATACCTCTTTTGGCTTGATGTACCAAAAAAAAAACGTTTCGAAGATTTTTTTCAAAAAAAAAATACATTCATACTACAAATCAACAACTATATTGAATAATTTCGGTGCCATTTCTTCAATGACCCCCCTTTTATTTTTTGAACAGGTCGACTCAAAAAATTGGAATATGGGATAATGAAATTAATGCATGCATACTTTATTATGAAGTAAAATTGGNTCCAAATACAAAACTTTTGGTCAACACTGGTCATTTTTAAATAGTATGTAACATTGAATTACAAGGTCGTTGTTCTTGCTACAAATTAAAATAGATATAAGCGTAAGAGACGTTCAAAAACTCAACAGAGCTAATATTCATAATGTTCTGATGAAATTTCCGCTGTTTCAGATACTACCTCAAAATATTAAAGTTTGTTTTTTTATAAAAATAGTGTTCATGCTATAGGTACTGATATTTTTCTGCTGATAAATTGGCCTGCTCCATTGAGAAACGTTAATGACACATTCATATTTCAGTAACATCGTAAACTATCTAAATTCATTCTACTGGAAAACTCGATATTGAAATTTTTCATGTAAACTCATCAATATGTTGACTGTTTACAAATTTTATGCTATTTCACAGAAACATTAAATCGCTCTGGAGTAATGAAAAGTACACACAGAAACGATTGAAGAAAAACAATATATTAGAATAAAGTCAACAAGTAAATTTGAAGTTGTTATTCCTGTCTTTCATGTTTTGAGGATCATAAATTCCTTTCCATTTCAAATGTTGTGTTTCGTTTTTTCAATGTTATACAGTAGTGCGAACGTACAATGACACAGTTGTTATGGAAAATCATAATATCTAATTGGAAGTAATACAGGAATATGATAATATAAAATAACAAAAGAATAAAATAATGTAAAATAATGAATATGTATAGTGGATATTAAACTGTTAAGATATCAAAATACCTCTTTTGGCTTGATGTACCAAAAAAAAAACGTTTCGAAGATTTTTTTCAAAAAAAAAATACATTCATACTACAAATCAACAACTATATTGAATAATTTCGGTGCCATTTCTTCAATGCCCCCCCTTTTATTTTTTGAACAGGTCAACTCAAAAAATTGAAATTTGGCTCAGCGAATACTTCACAAACCTAGAATATGAAGTCAATATCTTCACTGAATGAGTTGGATCTACCAACTGTCATCGATGACAGTTAGCGATGACATTCATTCCTTCATTTGATTCAATCCCAGCCATAGGAATTTTGTAAAATTGGAAGGGCATATTTTTAGAAGAGATTGATTTTAGGGAAAGACAGGTTTTGGCTTTCTACTTCTTCATCATTATCAAAAATTGCTTTCTTTCTTCGGAAGATTTCCACATTTTTTCTGTATAAAGATAGAGAACTTGAAAGCCAAAACCTTTCTTTCTCAAAAATTAATCTCCTGTGAAAATATACCCCTTTCAATTTAAATTTATTTTCTCAATATCACCCAATATATTTTTACCATTTTAGGAACGACTCATTGAACTGGACATGTGATAAATACAAAAAATACTCAAGACCTCAAAATACCTTGATTAGGATCTACCCTAATTACCTATATATTCCAACGTCAAAAAACAAATCAAATGAAGGAAAATTATTGAAAGCTCTATGGTTGTTGAGCAATATTTCCGAATTCTTAAATCTATTGATTTCTAAGCTTTCTAAAAAATGAGTACAGAACATTTCTCTTTCAAATTCGACTCTAATGAGTCGTAATCACGATTGAACTCGCTCAAAAGATGGTTTGCAAATGTTGAATTGATGTTCACATTCAAAAAAACTGCTTCTATGTTCTTTTATTTTTTTAGAGAAAGTTCTGCCGGTTTGGCCAATATAAATTTTGTGACTATTTCACTACATTATCTTATCAAACAAAAAATTAATCATTGTACAATTTTCCATTATCATTTTCGAAAGCATAATGATTGAGTTAGATATTTTGAATTACATGTGAAATTAGTGACTTCAATTGATATTTTTATAGAATCGAATTTATATATTGCCCGAAAAGTTTGTCATGGAATTCAATTCCAAAACTGAAAAATATTTAGAGCAGATACTTTTTTTCATACCGAATTTCAAAACTGACGAAATCACAAAACTGTTAATATTTTTTTTCAGGTCACATATAGACTGAAGGCACAAATGAAATAATGAATATGTCGGACAAAGCGGTATCAACGGAAGATCTCTGCATTAAAGAAGGAATCAACAACTCGGTCGTCAAAGTGGCAAGATTAGAAGCAATACTTCATACATTAGTTGAAAGCAAAGTGGAAACCTTGAAAAAGGACAATCGAAAATCATCAAGTGTTCATTCTAGTCCAAAAACAATTCTAAACCGTCTGAGATTAACCTCTTCTTCCAGCCAGAGTACTAAAGATAATGAAGGAGAAGCCGAAAATGAGAACGAGATAAAAAATACCACTGGGCTCAGAAAAGCGGAGATTGGACATATGGGGCAATACAGAAAACCAGGTAATCCTCTCTGATTTTTTGCTGAAAATTTAAATTGGGGAGGAGATATTTATCAAATTTTCATCTAAGGATCTAAAAATCGTGAAAATATTTGGGTGGTGAAAAAAATAGAGCGAAGAAAATAGGTTCGGAGACAATCTATTGATTTGAGTATCAAATTTTTTTCAATTTGACAATTATGAATTACAACTTTCTTCGCAAATTTTTCAAAATGTGATTATATGAATATTTGACTGTAGAATTGACTGTATATTGAGAAAATGTTATTCATTCTGTATTAGATCAGTTAAAGTATTTGTTTATCATAGTAGCGTCTGTCACCGAAATGTGTAAACAATGGGTGGTTAACTTAGTAGATGTCAATCAGAATATTTCAATTTGTATTGCTTTCATACTTCTAATAAAGTTACTATAGCGGTCTTTCTGGTTATAATAATAAGTACTTTCTTGAAAATTACACAGCGAATCTTAAAAAAAATCTGCTGATTGCCTTGCAATAATGTACCTACATCTAGTCAAAATTTGCATTACCTACTGTTGATAAATCTACTGACCTATTTCATAACCTTGAAATTTGAAATCTGTTTGAAACCTGTTTTTCCGTTAACCAACTGTCGCACCCCTACGAAGGAAAACACTCAGAAGTCGAAACTTGTGCGAGCTAAGGATTAACAAGGATTTAGCTTTTAACGTGTGAATCATAACACGTATTTGGATACTTCAAACAATGTGATTGTGTATTTGTGGAGTACTTCATAACTTTGTCATCATATGCAGCAGTGGTTATCCATTGTTAGCCTTATAAAGGGTGTTAATTAAGTATGTACCATAAATTTAACAGACGATTCTTTAGGTAATTTTAAGACGAAATGTTAATATAAACATGGGTCCGCAAAGCCTTTGTTCTCAAGATACAGGGAGTTAAAATAAAAATAAAAAAAAGTTATTCGTAAATATCGTAAATATCCTTTACCTAATTTTGTTGTAATTTGGCAATGGTATTTAAAACATTAAGGAGCTAATTTAGCCCGAACGTGATTCAATTTATTAAGTCCAGTGGCGTCTCGAGCTGGATTTGGACGAATATTTTTGACTTAAAAATGTACGCCACAGACTTTTGTGCAAGTTTTATCATTTCATTGGATTGAGCAATTAGAAATACAACTTTTTTGTCTCCTGAATTTTTTTCGTATCTTTCTTAGTTTTTGAGAAAAAAAGTCGACCTAATTGTATATCCCTGGACCTCACAAGGAGTAATATGGGGAATTAAATGTTACTTTTGCAAATTATATAATATCAAACATAATAACAAATATTAAATAATATTAACATCTAGACTAACGAATTGCACTAAATTGAGTGTTGGAAATGGCCTCCTTCGGCTTCAATACAACCGTCTAGCCACCGCATCATTGAATTTCGCACTCTTCTGAAAATACCTGGCGTATTTTTTATTATGTCACATGAATTATTTATTTTATTCCGTAAATCCTCTTCATTTTGAATAGCAGTTTTTTATACCAACGCTTTGAGGTGTCCCCAGCAAAATAATCTGAGGGATTCATTTCGGGCGAGCGAGGTGGCCATGGGTGTGAGCCTGCTCTCACAATCCAGCGATTAGGGTAATTTTCATTCAAAAATTGCCGTGCCACTACACTTCGAGTTGGAGAAGTTGCTGAGGAAACCAAAGTCCAATCATCCCAATGAAAGAGCCCAAGAGAGCCAATACCAAAAAAGCACGCCAAGTTCGATCAAATGTCAAGGTTTTGCTCATTGTTTTCTTCGATTACCGTGGCGTAGTGCATCAGTTCTTGCCACATGGTCGTATGATCAATAGGGAGTATTCTCGCTTGCGAGAAGCAATACAAAAAAAACGTTCGGTATTGTGGAAAAACAATTCATGGCTTTTGCAACACTATAATGCTCACAACATCTTAATGATGTCTCAGCCACCGTATTCATCAGATTTTATCCCGTTGGACATATAAACTATATAAATCTGTCTTGTCTGTCTATGTCCCAAGTGAATATTATTAAAAGTACTCAATTCACAGGAAATTCATGAATCTATTCATTTGAAACATAGTTGGCACTCTAGAATAAGAGACTCTACATTGCAAAAAAAGATTCCAAAAAATCCATATTTTCTAATAAAATATTATGATTTCATGAAAACGTGTATGCAATATTTACCAGTGAAGAAATATCTCTTAAAACTGCTGGATCTGCCGTGCTGAGGAAATACTCAGTGAGTATAAAAATATGAAAATTGAGATTTCAGTTTGATATGAATACTTTGAATACACGGAATATAAATTTACAAGAAACATTATAGTATCTTCAGCCATTATTGAAATATAGGTGTATTCATCAGTCACCGTAGAATTTTTAAATACCAGTTTATTGGTGAAATGCATTGTTTACATTGGTTCAAAAGCAGTATTCACAGGCCAGTTAAAAGTCACACAGTATTTGAAAGAAGTGGAAAAGAAAAAAGTAAAACAAAATTAATTGTCCAACAAATATCGCATTGACTGCAGTGGGTATTATAATTTTCACACATCAAATTTATAAGAGACACTTTTCCAGGGTTGGATCTTGTAGGAGGGGTATAGAAAGTGATCTGTCTACGTGTAGAAGCTTGAGGTAACGTTGAAGTTAATTTAATCTAGTAAGGAGGGTGCATCAATGAAACAATGCAAAATTTTGTGTAACATAACAATACTTGTTGAAACTCTAGGTTGCTTCAAGGAAGGCACACCAAATATTTGAAGTAGTGTGGAGTAGTATGTTCCTCTAGTAAGGTACACGCCATTAGTTCTAAATGCAAGAAACTTCAGACAACGCCTTTGCATATTTTCCAAGGTTTCCTTATGTACATTATAAAGGTGGCCACATACTAGCATACATGTGCATCATACATGTGTGTCATACAGGCTTGCGCGTTGATGTTTGCCAGTGTGTGGTGAAAAAATCGCAAACATGTACGTCGCACAAGTTTTCCAATTCGACCGGAATGCATGTATGCACAAGTTTGAGCGTGCAAACAAGATTGTCGGTGTGTGGCCAAGTATGAAGCTTAGTGCGCATTTCTCCACTCATCTGCTGACGACGGAAACTGTAAAAAAATAACACAGTATTATAATTCTAGCATACGCAAGAAATGGAACATATAGACGAAGACGTAGAATCACCGATGAATCCACCTGCAAGATGTCTGTCACGTTCGTCTGTACCTCGCGATCTTAACCAAAATATAAGTTCTCCATCAATATCAGCAACTAGTAGCGCAGCTACACGTAAAAGTTCAAAAAGGAAACGCCAAACTAAAGTTGATGAAGCCGACGAAGTATTGACTATGGTGGGAGAAAGGCTACGTAACCAAAAGGCCGATGATGCGTTTAACATTTTTGGGAACAATGTTGCAACAAAGTTACGAACCTTACCAAGACAAACAAGATTATACACCGAAAAACTGATAAATGATTTATTACTTGAAGCCGAGATGGGCAATATTGATAAACATACTAAAATTGTTACGTCGGTCCATACGCCTACTAATTCAAACGATACTAACAATTTCTGCCATACTTATTTGCCATCAAATGAATACCCTCATCCAGCCACTTATCGTCCAGTACAACATCAAGTACACCTAAGTTCACAAAGACCTACAGATACACAATTTCCAATGACTCCAACACCACAACAGCACCTATACCAAAATTTAAAAACTAGTTCACCTACGTCTCAGTATAATTCTAATATTTCAACGTTTTATGGAACTTATCAACCAAGTGAGGACAATAATTGATAGAAATATTTTTTGACTGATGCAGTAGATATTTACATAAATATTTTTTACTTAGTTTTGTATTTGAATAAATAGGATTGATTGAGTTTTATACGTTCTACTTATTTTATTACCAACGTTTGTGCTAACACGACTTCTTATATTTTATTTGAGTAATAAGATCAAAATAAAGACGTTGAATTATCAAAAACTATAATAGATGTTTTCTTACCTTCATATATACGGTCTTCAAAACGTCAAATATAGCTTTGCAGGTCTCTGGTATTATTTTTCCCAACGACTGAGGAGAAATTAGCGTTGAAAACTTTAAGTCTTCATAATTCCTTCCAGTGGCTAAATAGCGAAGTGTAGCTGTTAATCGCTCATGAGGTGATATAGCAGCCCTCAAGATCGTGTCCTGTTTTTCAATTATTAGAAACACTAACTTTAATAGTGTGATGTAACTTTCTTCATCCATTCTGAGGTAATTCCGCCAATCATCAGGCTCTAGGCGTAACTCTTCTAGGAGATTAATATGAGTATACTTTGAGCGTTTCAAAAGCCATTCTTTCACTCATTTTGTTCTTTTTGTTGGCTGTTGTATGTCACACATGTGTGACATACATGTATGACGCATATGTATGCTAGTCTGTGGCCACCTTAATAATAAGAGTTTGAATTAAATAGTGAATAGCACAGTAAACATTTGCGACGAATTATTTGTTCTATTTTCTCTTGTTTTATTGCAATTCAACATTTTTTATATAAGATTTTACACGTTGTTTTTTTCATTATTTTGTCCATAGAGTCGTATTCTACTCATTATACTTTATATTTGAAACTTTGGACTTTCATTTTCTCTTGTACTGAGAAAAATTCCATCCTAGTAGAGTAAGATGAAGTTAAGAGAACACAAACAAATAAGAGACCTTTTGTCAATCTATCGAGATCGCACATGTATGCTAGTCTGTGGCCACCAAAGCAAAGTAGCATACTCTAACTTGGAGCGAATGAGATATGCGTAAAGTATGGTAAGATGTGTAAAGATGTGTATGGCGGTAATATTGGTGAATGATTTACAGTTGTGTAGAACAAAGCCAAACATTTTTCTAGCCGATGCCAACAAATGTCAACCTGCTGTCGAAAGTCACCACTAGATATTTGACAGTTTCTTCGCGAAGAAGTATTTCATCCTCGAAAGTCTAAAAATACTCAATGATATTGACATTACGTGTAAAGGAGCAAACTTTACACTTTGTAACATTTATTGCCAATTTATTGATTTGACTCCAGTTATCTACCAGGTCTAATTAAGACTGGAGATAAGAGCAGCTCTATAAACTTGTGATACACGAAAAGATCTTCAAGTCGTCTGTAAAAAGTAAGTTGCCACACGAAAGCTCGCAGGTGAAATCATTTATGAAGAGGAAGAAAAGCAGGGGGTCCTAAATTGGAGCCTTGTGGCACACCGAATGGTGATAAGTATGATGCAAACGCAAATCCATTATGAAAAACAACATTGGTTCTCTGATCCAAATAAGAGCGTAGAAGTTGAGATAGTGAGGGATTTCAACCCATTTGAGCTATTTTCTCTAGTAAGATGGAGTGACTTATTTTGTCGAAGGTCTTTGCAAAATATGATATATGTAAGAATATACTGTTTCAACTTACTGTCTGCAGATATTATATTTTGAAGTTCCGACAAGATTCAACAGATTGACATATATACTCTCATTGCGAACTCGCTCTCAAAGTTTATTACCTGGACGTTCATAGGCTTGTATTATAGTATCTAAAAGAGCAGAAACAGGATCCATAAATACTGAAACCATACAAAAAGCAGAACCTCAGAAGCTGAAACTTACTAATTTTTCACATCGACAAGTGTTGTAGTACACAGCTTTTTATTGTTAGTTTCAACTACAAGAACTATTAGATATTTCTTCGTTATAAAGTGCAAAACATCGTTTCAGTCATACCTGTAATATCAAAGTTTTTCAATATTAATCCGGTTTGAAAGCCGGAATTTTCAGTATTTGTCTTAGCAGTGTCAAAGTTATTGATTGATACATTTTTTGACAGATAACTGTATGTAAAAAATAAATATGAAATTGATCGTTACACAGTGTCACAAAAAATGCAAACAATGAAAAATAATCGAACTAAACACAACATTCATACATTCTGAATAAATAAACCCTCAACATGTATTTGAGATAATTTAAATATCATCCTTCTTCCACATTATATGATAAAATTGATTTTTATTCATTTTTTCGTTTTCAGCACTGAAGCAAGTAATTTCAGGGTCCCCTTCAGTAAATCTTCAGCATCACTGTGGAAGTTTTGAGATATCTCTTAACAGTGAAACAGATGAAAGAAATCGTTCAATGAATTATGACAATATTTATATTGATAATAGCTGTCCATCCTTGACAGAGAAACCTTCGAATTGTTGCTGCAATAAAGAGATTAGTGGGTAAGTTTTTGTCCATTCAGTCCTCAATAGTTTTCATTTCAAGTCTTTTAGGTGTTGGGTTGAAATAAGAAATATAATATTTCATTAGAAGAATTAACTTTTCAGCAGGGCTGTTCTGCTAATTTTGTAGATCTGCTACCGCGTGTTTTAATTTTCACCGATTCATTCTCTGTTATTTTTCACTGGTATTTAACCGACAGATTTCATCAAATTTTTGTTGTCGGTGTACATTGATGTATTACATATTACATAGAATCTATGAACCAGGTGAATTGAACTGCCTATAATGAAAATAAAACAGCGTTTGTTATTTGTCTTTGTGTGGGGTGTTATTTCCCAAAATATAAGAATTTTGTTGATAGTGACAGCATCCTGGCATTTGTCAACTCCATACATCAAAAATAATTTATCGGATTCATTGTATACTGTTTTTTGTACCACTGTCAATAAAAGTAACATTTTTAATAGTTGTCAAGTGTATTAAAAGATGATATTTACAAAGTAGCGGGTTGAAAATATTCTTAACACTAGTGTTAAAAGTATTTTCAACACGATTTTTTTCGACCAAATAGCAATAAACAAAACATACTTATTCAATTTTCAAAGAAGTTTTATCATGAACAATGGATATAGATACAATTGAATTCTATTACAAATGTATTATATACATTAATTACATTATTTTTATTTATGATGAGCATCAATATGTTTTTTTTGGAACAATTCAATTGAAGTTTTTTTTTGCAGCCTCTTCAATATCGTCAGGAACACACAATTCCTCACTATTGTTCTTCATTATGCAAGACATCAAACACCAGCAGGAAATTCAAATGCGACTGAGCTATAAACAATACTGTTTGTTGGTAACCAGGTGATTCGGCGTCACCTGACACGGCCACTTCACAGCAAATTCGGTAACATGGAAATAGTCAACTGACAAGAGATATCAAAATGTGTTTTCATAGAAATATCAAATGTATCTATTTTATAATGAAAACAGGACAGTTGTACAAAAAACTTTGTATAATATTTGTGTTGAAAGTAAATTTTATTTTGTTCGTGAAATTGCTCATCTCACTACGCTCATTTCGCAAACTTTTTCACTGATAAAACAAAACCTTACTTTTACCACTCATATCACAAATAGCTATCATTTGACAGTTTTTATGATTAATAGGTGAAATTCATCTAATGAAAACATTAACATGTATCTAGTAGCCATCATTTGGTCTAGCTAGAAGTTAGAATGGTAATACCACAACTACCAAAAGTCCCCAAAATAAAAATATGGGACTTTACGAATTTTCAAATCGACGGCTGGCCAGACTGATAAAATTTATTGATATATACCAAATTCTAGACCAAGAAAACCACCAACATGACAATGGTGGATTTGTATCTGAATTTCGGTGAAGGGGGTTATTTCTGAGTTTCCGGGAAGCGGGTAATTTTCAGGAAATCTAGTTCATATATTAGGTTGTTTCAAAGGTTTTATCCGCATTCATGAGTCTTATTTAAACTGTAATATCTCAGTGAATGCTTCTTCAATTTAATCAAAATAAGCACCATTTCAATCAGTGCACTTTTGCCAACGTTACACAAGTCGATTAATTCCATCAGCATAAAAATTCATGTGATGGGGATTTCAAGAAGTCGACGAGGCTCGTATTTGTCTGGTCCTGATTGGGAAAGATTGAAAAGTTCCTAGTCGATTAGCGACAGATCTGGGAAGTGAGGTGGATGAGGCATAACTTCGACGCTCATTTCGTTTAATTTTTGGACGGTGATTTGTGAAACGTGTGGACGGGCGTTGTCGTGGAGCAATATCAGATTGTTTCTGTTGAACAGTACCGGCTGCTGCTGACTTAATTTTTCGGTACCCACTTTTCGAGCTTTTTGTCCTTCCCAATACGTTTTAAACTACCAAAAGCTGCTTGGGAGCTAACGCCCAGTTCTTCCGCCATTCCACTCACTGTTTGTGATGGGTCATTCTCCACCAACTGAAGTATTCAATTGCAGTGGCTAGTGTATAGTTAAATCAGATATTTCATATCATTTTATATTATTTTATTAGCGTATATTGCTGCTAAAGTTGAGAACCTGTTTTTTTTTGTTTCATTTAATAAATTTTAAAATTTGGCTGCATGTCTGTCTTTGTAATAGGATAAGTTAGGATGAAGATACCTTTAGGATATTTTTTCATTTTGTCAGATTTATACAGTGCGGTCCATATGTATGGAATAAATTCATTTTTCGCGTTATTATGTACTATGTGAAAAAAACCTGAAACAGGTCGATTTTTATTCTGAAATTGACAGTTTACAGTATGAAAATATTATCCCCCTCCAGCACCCCTTCTGAATCACAAGAACCCTTTCAAAAATTTTAAATAGCAAAGGGGGTCGTGTGGCACCTTGTTGGAAAGGGATTGTAGTCCTCTGTTCAGCAATATTTACCTTTACTATTTAAAATTTTCGAGGGGATGCTTATAATTCAGAAGGGGTGCTGGAGGGGGATAATATTTTCATACTGTAAATTGTCAATTTAAGAATAAAAATCGACCTGTTTCAGGTTTTTTGCACATAGCCTAATAGTAAAACGTTATG